AAAAATAATATATTGCGTTTATAATTGTGACTTGCAGCTTTATGATGACTGATTAATAAAATCTCATTAATAAGTAATTATGCCATTAATGGTATGATTCATTAAAAAAAATAATATACATCAAAAACAGATTACGTTGCATATATAATCAACTCATAACTCGTGATATTAATTATAAATGCAGAACGCTGCGTGAAAAATATGCTATCAATACACTTTTCAATGATGTTTTATTTTTAAAAAGAGTTAAGATTCGCAGATATGTAGCGTAAATGTAATTAAAGCTAATGACTAAACCAGTTAAAATTGAAAATAGAATTGTAGTATGAAAAAACATTTTTAACGTAAAAATACATCATAAAATCAATCAATTGTTATAAACAAATTATTAAGTGTAAATTATTAACTGTAAAGGAAAATTGATTACGTTACTAATTCTATGGAAAAAGTTATAAAAAAGCACATATAACTTTTATTTAATAATCTTCATTTATGTTCTTCATTTATGCATGAAAAAAATTAAATATTACATATTATTGAAGCTACTTTCTATTGTTTGATTATAGTCTTACGGGATTCGAACAGTGATGTGATTACAGTTATGGCCAGTACTCAATCACGAATCAAAGTCTATACCGAGCGCGTCAGACATAGCAATTTAATATAACGAAAGCCAACGGTGAAATGTCTCATCTCTCTCGATTGTTCGATCTCATACTCGGAGAAAAATTATTTGTTTTCAGCCGTTCGAGAAAGCTTCGAAATCTAAGTTATAATATACGTGATCCTTTAGTTTAGTTTCCTACATGAGATGCAACGGTTGCATCTCATTTTCCTAGCGAGTTACAACCTGTGCAATATTGTGCTTGACTGCAATGTCAGATTGTTTGACACATGCTCAGATAGATAAATGCAGTTTAAACATGACGCTGATTATTACCCGCTGTTCATGTTCATCGATTTAACTGTTATGTCTTATGTCTGTTCTGTGTTATCCTTTTTTTCTGATTCAAACAGCTGAACAGGTTTTCGATATTTGCATGTGTTCTCTCGCGATTCCGAGAACAGCATATTCTTCGAATGAAATTATATTTTTGCGAAATGCATTTTTACCTGAGGGGGAATGGCGATATAATCGCCACAATTGTATAATATATTCACGTGGTTAGAGCAGAAAAGTTATGGTTAGCAAGAAAAGAATTGCAAAAATTTATATGTATTTTTTTTGTAATTTTTCCCACAGAAACAATTAACGTAATTATCTCTTTACAAAATTTACAATCACTATTTAGTGGGAATTTTTCAATTATATGATTACTTATTTCGTGCACGCGACGACATAAGTTGTTCCAGTTATGTAATAATTGATAAAATCTGTACTCAGCCTGAGAAATGTTGATCGGCTATGTAAACTTATATTTTCTAGTGATAATTACATATTAACCTCATTTGCAATCTTTGTGATTATAAATGGAGATTAAGACGATGTTAAATGATCATTTTTGTTTTTTTTTATTTAATAGGCGGGAGAATCTACATTTAATTTAATTTTATCCGGAATTGTGCAATATATGATGCAAATATATGAACTTTCTGTTCCAATTGAGTCGTGCACAATACTACACTTTCTTCCTATGTACTTTATTCCTATATTGTTTATGTTAAGATGTGTTAAGCAATTGGAAAGCGCTTAGTAATTTATTTATAACAATTAATAAACTTGATTTTTATAATGTGCTACTTATGTCGGAATGTTTTTTCGGTTCTTCAGTTATTCTTTTTTTTTTTTGTTAATCTTGCTAGTGATAATTGCTAATGAGCTCATGAATTTTAATTGATTAATTTATTAAAATCTTATAGTGATCTTATATTGATTATTACAAAATTGAAAAAAAGTAATCAATACTTTTCAAAGAAGCTACATTGGAGGATTATCTTCATATCTTAATACACTCCAATTAATGTTTCATAAATATTGTAATTAATTTACTTTAGAAACAATCTGATACTGTATTAGTGAAATATTGACATTTTATGATATATAAAATTATAAATATATAATTTTTATGAAAAAAAATACTCATGGAAATCTCAATAATATTATCATTTATTTTGATAATGTTAATTTTGATAATGTTAATTTTGATAATGTTGATAATAATAATTGCCTTGTGGAAATATTTCCAATCTTTTTATCTACATGTCTTAATTTGTTTCAAGCAATAATTAAGATAAATTTTGGTAAGATTATTTTCCATCTATTTTAAATAATAAATGCATATTGCGTCGGCACTTAAATA